TTGCAGGCTTTGTTCAACCCATAGAAATCTACAGGGTGGTCGAGTGTACCAATTTAATCGAAATTAAACGACCTCATGCATTTATTTTTATGATATTTAGTATGTTATAAAAATATCTCTAGACTTTTCCGATGTGTGTATTTGTAAAATAAAAGTTATGTAATATTAAGAAATTGATCAAATGTGTTCTATTTCATTTTTTGACAACATTGAAATCCAGTTTTCCAAGATTCACATTGAATTCTATAGTTGTACAGATTATTCGTTTTTTTTTTGACATGGACACGTATTTTCTTGAGTCTGACTACTATAGCCAGTACAGAAAATGACTAGACTAGAAAATGAATATTTATCTCCCCCAACTACCCACACTGTAGGTACTGGTAAATGCCTGCCGGAAAACAACTACTTTCCCGGCTATTACCACGCAGGATATTGAATTATGATTGACATTGAGGTTGGAGCATCTTGCTTCCTGCTATTAAAATTAATTCTGATCTGATTGGTAGAAATTTTGAATGACTATGGATCTTTTTTATCTGAAAATAGCTATTTATTTGATTAGAGTGTGAAAACCAAAGGGTTGATCTTTGATATACATGTAATGATTTGACATTGGGGAATCCCTTGTTGAGCTACCAGAAATAATTTGANTCCTATTCAATAAATAATTTTGAAACCCCGGATATTTATGTTAGGCGTTATTTCAAAAAGAATTTTACGGTACACACTATCAAATGCTATCTTCAGGTCCAATAAAAGGGCTACACATTTTTGTTCGAATCTGAATCTAGCTGTAATGCACCTTATGATTTTTCTGTTCTGTGAACGCGTCATACGTGCTGAGACTCTCTAAAATCCAGGCCCTATGATAATATGGACTGTATTAGTCCAAGTAAGATCAAGTACATGTGTGAATACTGTTTTTTACACTTGTACTATCACAAGACACATGCTAATCAGTTTTGTGATTAATTTGTCTGAGAATGCTCCCCAGGTTATTGTCTAGTTCTAGTTGATGGTTAGACGTTCACTTTTCGATCATGCAGAGATTTTGTGGATTTTTTTATGTTCACTGGTGTTACTGCCTCATTTGGACGACCATGTTTGAAGTCAGCAAACCAATGTTCAATTAGTTTCTGATGGAGCGGAGTCCTTATAATACCGTTCAAGCCATGACTTCGCTTGAACAGCATTTTTTCCCTATCAAGAAGCAGTGTTAAATTAAAACACGAAATTGTTATTGATCCATAAGTAGTGTCACTCTTAGCACAGTAATTCACAAACTTATGAGTAGAATCTCGTGAAATTTCAACAGCAAATTTCAACAGCAGAAATCGCGCCATCTATGTGTTAGGTCCGAGACTTTTCAGCCAGCCCATGTAGTGGACTAAAGGATGCATCAATAAAATGAATGTTTTTGAATTTCTAATATACTGCAAATATTGCAAACAAGATAAAGTTTCTCAAAGTTATTCAACCCAACTTTCCATTTTAATCAAAACACCAATTCTTTCACTCTAATGCTACCAAAAGTATTTCTGTACAAACGTATCTTTCCTACCAAGTGTTTTTTTCTGTGAAAACTTTTTCATGGTGCTTCTTATATTGGTTCATACTTTCCAGTTTCTACTTACAATTGTTAAGGCATTTGAATCAAGAAGCAATTAGTGCATGAAGAGACTGGGAATAGATGAGAAACTAATGCAACTGTCATTAACCAATAATGAGATTTTTACTATTACTGGAGTTTTGCGTATTTTGGGAAAGATTTTTATTGTTGAGTTCTGATGAAACCAACACAATCTTCAATTATTTATCTGCACCTTTTGATACCGTTTTCGTTTGTTTCTAACACCAAAGTAAATAGTGCAAATACATTTGTTTGAGTATACGTCACAGTTGCTTAGAGATGTACGCGGAAAAATATATTTATAAACTAAAAATGGTACCCAGTGAGAAGGACGTTGATCCCAATAAAATTTTGAAAAACGCAGTTCGTTTTGATAATATTGCTGTGAATGTAAAATTCAAGGTACTCAATTTCAATGCAGTGATAAGTATTAATAATTTATTTCATCGGGACCTTTAATTTTTTTAGGAAAGAACCGAAAACCGCTCGACATGGAGCAATTTGTGGAAAAAAGTGAGAATTTTAGCTCCGTTCGTCTGGCCGAAGAAGGACTTTTTTCTTCAGTTTCGAGTTATTATTTGCTTTTTGTTATTAGCGGGTGGAAGAGCGGTGAATTTGTATGTACCCATCTACCAAGCACTTATTGGTAAGTATAGAGACATGGTTTTGTTAACCTGAAAATTATTGTTGTCTACTTATATTTCTGTTACTATTTCTTGATTTTCAAAAAAAAGGTTGTCAAGTGAGCTTTCAAATATCACAAGATTATTTCCACCGTGTGTTTTACAAAAAATGTTACGTATACGATCAAGAAAGTGTATTAGAGAGAATTATTCAATTGCTGAATTCAGTTTGTTTAAAATTTAAAATGGAACAAACTGAATGATACATTAAGTCAAGTATACTTTAAAAAAACCGTTGGGAGGTTATCTTGGCTTTGATAAGTATCATTAAATTTCATTCAGAAAATGTCCAAATAGGAAAACAGTGCATTCCTTCGAAGACTAGCACTCTGATGATGCTGCTAAAGGGTTTTTCAATAAGGGCGGGTAGATGTTGAAATGGAATAAAACAAGTTGTGTGTGAGGTATTAACAAAATTATTATTTTATTTGAAAGGCGCATGTATGCCATTAAGTGTGGAATATGACATCATTCAAATGCCCGCCTCGGCTTCTTACTGTGGCATGGATCCGAGTGATCCAATTTTCAATGACTCTTCCGCATAGATCCGGCTGAATTTGAGCGATGGCCTGTGTTATGTTCACCTTTAGGGCATCGGTCGATTGTGATTTATTTGCATAGACCTGCGACTTCAAGAAACCCCACAGGAAAATCAAGCGGGGTCAAATCGTATGACCTTTGTGGCAAATTCACATCACCCCTGCGAGAGATAACCTTACCCTCAAATCGTTCATGCAAAATGTCAATCGTGGCGTTTGTTGTGCGGCACGTAGCGCCATCCTGCTGGAACTACATGTCGTCTAGGTCCATATGGTTCAGTTTGGGCCATAAGAAATTAGTTATCATCGTTCTGTAGCGCTCGCTGTTGATGGTGACCGCCTCACTAACGTCGTTTTCAAAAAAGTACGGACCAATTACGCCGCCGGCCCAAAATCCACAACAAACGGTAACTTTTTGAGGATGCGTTACCACCTGGTGAACCTCGCGTGGGTTGCTGTCGGCCCATATACGGCAATTTTGCTTGTTAACACAGCCATTCATCCAAAAATGCGCCTCGTCACTAAAGATGATTTTTCGGCCAAAATTGGGGTCCTCTTCCAAACGATTCGAAGCCCAGTCAGCGAACAAACGGCGTTGTCTATGGTCATGAACTTTGAGCTCGTGGGTCAGTTGGATCTTGTACGGGTGTAGGCCCAAGTCCCGACGCAAAATTCGCCAAGTTGAAGTCTACGAAAGGTCGAGTTCTTGTACACGGCGAGGAATGGACTGTCTCGGGTTCTGCTGTAGACTTTCACGGACCGCGGCGATGTTCTCGGCCGTTCCTTGAACGTACGGGTATTGGCTGATTGTTTACTGAACCGGTCGTCTCAAATTTGGCCACCAAACGTTGAAGAGTCGACTGTGAAGGGCCACCACGTCTACCGTAAAATGGGCGCAATGCGCGCAACGTTTGCGTTAACAAACACTCATTTTGATAATACAGTTTTATCATTTGAACGTGCTGTTCAATCGTGTAACTTGCCATGATGATTTGGCATAAACAACTGAATAATAAACAAAAGATTTGACAGATATCACCAAAACAAAATGGCCGCCACGGGGCGCCAAAATCTACCCGCGCCAATTGAAAAACCCTTTATGTAGTGAAACGCATATTGGAAATACAGTCCGTATTTTGAAAATTGTTAATTATTATGAATACTATTACTGACCATCACCAAGCATAGGTCAATGTGTTCACAAAACTCTGTTTAATTTCATCTCCTGAAGAGGCAAACTTAGTTGGTGAAACACCTGTCAAGAAGAGTATTCATGTTCTGATATTTATTTCAGCTAAACTAAACATTCAATGCTTTTTTTTCTGGACTTGTTTTGAGATTCATTTGTATGTAGCATCTACGAAAGGAATATAATTTTGAAAAAAAAAGTTTCAGGATTAACGATAAACATATTTTGGAGGAAGCGTATAATAATAATAATAATCGTCTTTATTGTTACCCAGCTGTAGCTACATACAAATATTCAAATAAATTACAGAGCTAGTTGCTGACATAACAAAAGGCGAAGTTCAACTCAGCACAAGTGCTTCTGAGTTGTTCTTCCACATGACGTGCCAAAGTTCAGTTGAAAAACACCTTACCCCTTGCCTCTCATGTGAACCTACGACTTTGTAGGTACGTGTGGCAGACACCCCACGGAAAAATAACAACTAACCCAGCTAATGCCGCGCAGAAAGCTGAAGTAAAACCATCAGGCACCTGTGCAACGTCTTCCATTTGGAAGATTCGTCACAGTTAACTTCCTATATATATTAGTCTTTCTCAAAGTGGGCGATAACGCCCCCTTGTGGGTGCTGGAGGCCTATAGGGGGTTAGTAAAGGGCAAAGAGAAGATTGGGGATGTTGAAGCAGTTTAGGGGTCGATTGCTAATTTAAAAATTGGGCTTAACGCGCGTTTCCTCGTGTAACGCCATCTAGGGAACTAAACAGTAACTATTTCCTGTCCGATAGTTGTCAAACTGTACAATAGATGGCGGTAAGCTTCAATGCGAAGCGAGAAGTTTCTAGTCTCCATTCTCGAAAGTACTAGGCCCGCCCGCTGCCTCATATAAAAGGGCGCGCGCCATCCAGCCAGTAATGTCATTCGACGATATTACGAAAACAAGTGAATTTAGTTAGCGACTAGCTAAGTATAGTGCTGTACGTGCGGTGGTGCAAAGACGAATTGATGAGATGACTGAAGACATTGAAGAGTCATTGTGCATTCATCTGAAGACTTCTAAATTCTCAATTCAGTTAGATGAGTCCACTTTACCAACCAATGAGGCATTGTTGTTGTCATACGTGAGGTTTATTAAAAATGAGAAAATATATCAAGAACTACTACTTGCCAGAAATTTAGAGACGGATACAAAAGGAGATAAAAAGGAGATACCATATATAATACACTGGAAAAATGTTGTAATGAGAAAGAAATTCCAGTGAAGAATATTATATCAGCTGATACAGATGGAGCTCTGGCTATGACAGGAGGTCACAAAGCGTATTTAAAAAATAAAATTCCAGATGTGCTTGCTGTACATTGCGTCATTCATAGGCAACATTTAGTTGCGAAAAATTTGAGTGAGCGCCTCTCTCAATCACTGCAATATATCATCAAAGCAGTCAATAAAATCCGAAACAGCTCTTTAAATGGCAGATTATTTAATCAGCTTTGTGCTGCTAATGATGAAGATTTCAACTGATTGGTATTTCACACAGAAGTGCGTTAATTATCAAGAGGTTACTGTCTGACTTGATTTTACAATCTATTTGACTCTGTCATAGAGTTCTTGGAAAACAAAGAATTGCACGACAACCTCATCACTTCAAAGAACGGTATTGCGTACTTGAAAGAACTGTATAAATTATTAAATGATCTCCAACTTCAAGGTGACGACTTGAATTTGATTAAAACAAAAAATTTCTTTGCTACTTTTGTAGCCAAATTGCTCTTATACAAGAATAATATCGACAGAAGTGAGTTTCGCAATTTCCCTAATTTGTTAGCAGTATCCTTCAACAACGACGACTTGCTTGTTTACTCCCAACATTTGGAAAACCTCCACAGTGATTTTTTGTGTAAATTCGAGCCTGATATTAACAAACTTGTTAAAAATCATCATTCATCACATTAGATTAGTTTCAAAATTCCAATTGTTTTAATAACATGAATAAAACTTTTCCTAATATTACAAAATGGTGTTTTACATTACCCTCATCAGAAAGTCTTATTTTAACATGACACACATAATGTAATTAATACGACTGCGATTGTGATTCTTAAGATGTAGTGAAGTAAAAAAAATTGGGGGGCGTTAGAAAATAATTAATTCTCGAAGTGGGCGGTAGACAAAATAAGTTTGAGAGCCTCTGCTATATATGAAAAGCAGACAATTAATTTAACCGTCTAAGTATCCCGAACAAACAAAATTAATTCCAACTAGTCACAAGCGCTATCTCCGGTTGGTTCAGTAGGATGATCATTGCGCCATCTGCAGACAAAGTCCGGAAAAAACTCCACAAACACATACTCCGGGTAGGGAGTCAGAATGATAAACATATGAATTTGAGCATATGACATGCCCAAATTCAGGTGAAAAACACCTTGCTCCTTGCCTCTCATGTGAACCTATGATTCACTGAGGCTGATTGTGTAGTTAATCGATTCATATTAATTTTATATTTTTTTTTTTTAGTCGATAGGGCGAGGACGCGCTACAATTGCAGTTCAAGACCGATTTTTGGTCTTAACCGCAAGAAGACAACCGACAATCACAGCACCTGAGTTGGTTAACGTGTTGCAGCAGACGCACCAGGTAACCATTGGTCGTGATACTGTCAGAAATCGACTGCATGAAGCAGATCTCCACAACAGAAGGCCACTTAGATGTCCACCTTTGTCGAGAG